ACTAGCAGAAGCTAATTAATACAATTTGATTAATATAATTTGATATGGATAGAATGATTAATAGATGATTAATGATTAATACAATTTGATATGGATGGAACTGATTAATAGATAAAATACGCTTTAATTTCAAGTGGGGAAGAATTGATACCAATATAAATAATTTTATTAAATGATTAAATAAAAGGAACAGTATATATAAAAAGTAATTATGCATCTAAATGATGTTAATGAAATTCCCTCCATTGAAAATATTTTTTCAATCAAAACATGTCAACTTTGAAATAATTCTGATTAGGCACCTGGGTGGCTCAATCGGTTAACTGTCTGGGTCTTAATCTCAAGCTCAGGTCTCCATCTCAGGGGTGTGAGTTCAAGCCCCATGTTGGGCTCCACACTGGGCATGGAGCCTAGTTAAAAAATAGTTTTTAGCTCTGAAATAATTCTGATTAAATGTTTATATTTAAAACATCAGAGTAAAAGTGAATTATAATCGGATGTTCTTCAATTAACTCATACAAAAGTTTGAGTGGTAGAAAATACTTTATCTCTGAAAATTTCTAAATTTCTATAGAAAATTAGAGCCTTACTAAAACCCAAAATAGGTATCTCTTCTTCATACTGCTAACATTCCTGGGCAGTTTTGTCTCATTGACACCCACATGCATTTTTACTATCTGTGCTACCAAAGATCTTCAAATTTCCTTAATATAGATATTAGAGAAATCTTTGGCTTTACTTCATGATCTTGTCACTGAGACTAGTTCTTTTCCAACTGATATAGCTTTCATTTTAAATATCAGGATCATGGTGCTTTTTCCAAAGGTTGCTCTATTACAACAGAAGCCTCATTCTAATTATCTATGGAGGGGGATGTAATCTCACCCAAAACATTAAGAATTACAAGAAGCCAGGCTTCAAAGTCTCCTTCCATTTACACATCCTTAGAATATTTTGACTTCATTTACTCACTTCCCACCTTAGTGTTATTTTTATCATATACTGTATTTCTTCATGTATTTTAAATGACATGTACTGTTGTTGTTTTGTAAAGTCAATATACACTTACATTTACCCATTTCCTTGCATTTCCATGTTTTCATGAGATTACTTTCTTTCTTCCTGAAGAACCATATTTCACCTTCATTTTTGAAAAAAAAACACAAAACAAAACTTTCACTGGGTCTGGAATTCTATATTGGCAGTGATCTGCCCACCCCCAACCCTGCCACTCTGGCATTTAAAAGTCACCATTTGGTTGTCTTATATCTCTTACTGCTTGGTGGCTATTAAGATTTTCTCTTTGTTTTTGGTTTTCAGCAGTTTTACTTTGATAGGCATAGATTGGATTTTCATTACATTTATTTTGCTTGGTTTTCACAGAACATCTTTAGTGTGTAGATTTATGTGAATCTGTTTGAAAATTCTCAGCTGTTGTTTCTCCCTTACTCTCTCTTCTTCTTTTTTGGGAAGAGTGGTATAAATTTACTATTGCTACCTGACAAGTTACACAGTCTTAGTGTCTTTAAATAATTCTATTTATTTCACAGTTGTAAGGTCATATGTCCAGATACCATGATTGGGTCCTCTGTTGAGTGTCACAGGCTGAAATTAGGGTGTTGGCTGGGCTGCGCTCCTTTCTGTAGGCTCTGGGGAAGAATCTGCTTCCAAGTTCATTTAGGTTATTGGTCATTCAGTTGCTTGGGGGTGTAAAAAAAATGAGGTCTTTGTTTCCTTGCTAGCTGTCAACTGAGGACCAATTTTAGCTCTTAGAGGCTACCCCCATTCTTTACTGCATGATTCTCTTTGTCTTCAAGGCTAGCGACAGATAATCACTCTTATGTCACATGCTTTGAATCTCTAATTTCAGAAAAATCCCAGTACTTTTTAAGGCTCACCTAGTTAGATGAGGTTTATCCTCTCTCTTTTACATAACATAATTTAGTAAGGGGAGAAAATTTCATCAATTCATAGTCCTCAGAATCATGCAGGCTTATGCAATAGGGGGTGGGAATCTTGGGTGGCATCTTAGAATTCTGCCCCGCACCCACTACAAATAGGCCTTTTCGCTGTGTTTAGTCACCATGTTTTTCAGTTCTAACATTTATGTTTTTGTAGGATCCAAACCCCTGGTGAAATTCCACATAATTTAAAATATTTTATCCATTTTCCCCTCTATTTCCTGGAAATTATTAATCATTGCTATTTTAAAGTTCTTGCTATTAGGTGAATCATGTGGATCATCCACGATCCTTACTTGTATTTGTTCTTCTCTTAATTATAAACCAATTATTTTATCTCCCAATAAAATTTTACAATTGTCTATTTCTCTCTTTGTTTCAGCTTCATGTGTTTTTAGACTGTTATGTGTATATACATTGATAATTGTTACATCTTATTACTGAGTTCTTTTCACCTTTATAAAGTGTCTTTTTCCATCACTGGTAATTGTCGTTGTCTTAATATCTACATTTTATTTTTAAATTATTTTAATTTTTTAAAAATTTTTATTTATTTATTCATGAGAGACAGAGAGACAGGGGCAGCAGGAGAAGTAGGCTCCCCATGGAGTGCCCCACAGAGTCCCCAGTGCGGGACTCAATCTCAGGACCCTGGGATCATGACCTGAGCCGAAGGCAGATACCTAACTGGCTCAGCCACCCAGGTGCCCATTAAATAGTCACTTTAGCTTTTTCTTGCTGACTGTTTCCATGTGTATCTTATTTCTATCATTTTATGTTCCAACTATTTGTGTCTACATTTAAAATGTTTCTTGTAGCCAGCATGTAATATGGTTTTGGCTTTTTCTTCAGTGTTGCTAATCTCTTTTTTTTAAAGATTTACTTATTTATTTGAGAGAGAGTGTGTGTGCAAGTGGAGAGAGGGGCAGAGAGGGAGGGAGAGAATCTCAGACTCCCCGCTGAATAAGGAGCCTACCTTGGGTCTGATCTCACAACCCTGAGGTGATGACCTGAGCTGAAATCAAGAGTTGGATGCTTTACCAACTGAGCCACCCAGGTACCCATCTGTTAATCTCTTTTAATTGGAGTTCTTGACTACTGAAATTTTTTGTAATTATTGATATAGTGGATTTAGATCTAACTTCTTTTTTTATTATTTGAATTGAATATATTTTACTATTTCATTTTAATGTAACTTTTGGCATTTTGGTTATATTACTTTCAATATTACTCCACAGTCCTTCAACCCTTCCAGGGCTAATATCTTGATTCTACCATTTACTCACTAAACCTTCTTCATATTTTCATTTTCCCCTTTTTCAGCCCAGGTTCTATTGTCTGCAACCATTTATTATGCATTTATCTTTTGTCTAATCTCCAGGTCCACTTTTCATTGTTGTCTACATTCCTCATTGTTCAAGGAGACTGAACTATAGAATGAGGGCTTCCTTGGCTTCTGACTGGGTTAAGATAATAAAAAGGCCTAATAGAAAATCAGCTCAGGTCCTGATCTCAGGGTTGTGAGATCAGACCTATGTCAGGCTCCTCACTCAGCGGGTAGTCTGAGATTCTCTCCCTCCCTCTCTGCCCCTCCCCCTACTTGCACAACCCAAGTCTTTTCAGTTTCTGAGTTTTTGTTTTTTTTTTTTCCTGACTGGAATATACTTTTTTCAGATAACTACATGATTCACTTCCTTACCTTCTTCAAATCTCTGCTCAAATATCACTGTATCACCGAGGCATTCCCTAATCATGCTAAATTCACTTCTGTAGTCCCTATATTCTTTTCCTTGCTTTATTTTTTTTCTCCAAAGTATATGTCACCATGTGTTTCATTATAAAGTGTTTTTTTTTTTTTTAATTCCCTGTCTCATCCAAGTTATCTACATGATGGCAGGGAGTTCTATTGTATTGTTTACTGTGTTTTCCCAGCACCTAGAATGGTGTTTGACACAAAGGCACTAAAAAGAATATGGTGGAATGAATTAATTGCAATTTGAATATTTGGATATTTCCATTTGTTAATTAACAGATCTAGTAATCACATAACAACTACCCCAAAGAAGCCGACATGATTTTGGATCATGATTTTATGAATCACTCAAATTCAAGTCATCTTTGTTTTCTCTTATTCTTTAACTAGGAACCTAGTTCTATATTTCTGGTGAATTTATTATTATTTTTTTTAAAGTTAGAATATTTTCAGTAGATTAATAAGTTTATAACTAGTCTCTGTATCACCAAACTTTGTTTAGTTCTTCTTAGAAAATATCACCTATTCATCTTCTTTGATTTATCAACCCTACAACAACAACCCAAAATTTTCATTCAGGGCTACATTGTGACTTTAATTGACTCTAGACTTTTTTGCCTTTGTAAGCCCCTTCCCTCACTTAAAAAAAAAAATAGTGTAAAACTTCATTGGTATGAAGACAAGTATGATCCCAACTGGATTCATTATTATTTATTCATTATTATTATATTCAGTTTTCCGTTAATTTTAGGAGGCACTGAAACTAAAACACTTAAAGGGGCTCTTAAAGTATTGTGGGCCTTAGGCATTGTGCCTACTTTGCCTAATAGGTAACAGCCCTCATCATTACATACAAAAGTCTTATCTTTTTCTCATGGCTCCAAAACCTTCTACAGTTGGGTAACTGTCCATTTTTCAAGTCCCAGCTAAAAATCCACTTTATTCATTATCTTAATTGTCCTCAATTTTTACAGCTCTCCAACAATTATTTGTGCAATTGAAAGTAAATATCTTTGGTGAAATTTTTTAAATTAATAGGATTTATCTGAAGTAACTAGTTACACACACACACACAGACACACACACACACACATTTTGTTACATAAAATACCTATGGCTTATCATTAATATTTCATTTCTAAATAATGAATGGCAGAGTTAATGTAAGAATATTGACTAATAAAACTAGCTAGTGTCCCTGCAGTTGTTGATTTTATTTTATTTTACAATAACAGGAGTTTTGTTTTATATTTCTAAAAGATTGTTTCTTATTTTCATTTTCCTAGGCATACTACAATTGTTCTTGTATCCAAGCAGGATTAGCAACCTCAGATGGTCAAGGTGATTTTATTGATGCTAGACCTGGGGTGTGTGATACAAAGTGCTATAAATTGCCTTTGTTCATTGCTTTTATCTTCTCTACAATTTTATTTTCTGTTTTTTCTGGTATACCATGCACCCTGACCATCCTTCGGTATGTATATATTATTCAAAATCATTGTTCATTTAATACATGAGAAAGCCAATTTTAGGAAGATTTTAGAATATTGCTATAAATGATTTGTTCTTTTGTTTTGAGATAGCAATTGCAAGACGGGAAATTGCCATATTGTCAAAATTCATATATTGGCTTATTTCTCTGTTTTAACTAATTTTATTTGCTTAAAGTTTCTAACTATCACACTTAGTTTTAATTAAATTTAACTTATGGTAATTTCATATATAGGAAAATTGTTACATTGTCAAAATTCATGTATATGTTTAATTTTTTATTTTATCTGATTTATTTACATAAAGCTTATAGATAACACATTTAGCTTAACTTTAAAACTAAATTTTTAACTTAATTTGATACACCTGGAAAATTCATAAATAGAAAATTCTTAATTATAACACAAATGTGATTATGTTGATTCATTAGTTACAGGTATTTATCGAATATTTGCTTCTATATTAACCAATTTGACTATGAAAAAAATCAGTGTCATTAGCAAAGAACATGATAACTTAAAAAATTTTAGAAAATCAGTACACAAGATTTTCTAAATTAAAGCAACATTTGCTATTTATTTGTTCTTTCTGAATATGTGAATACATTTAATATTTCTTTTTATCATATTAGGAAAATAGTCAGTTATTATTTTCAAGTTTTTTTCAAGAGGTTAACATAATTTAAGTCATGAGGAGCAATTTGTTGTTGCCTAGGAAAGCAGACTAGAAAACCTGAATAAATGCATGCAAAAACAGTTCTGAGAACTTGGGAATATGTGGTTTCTGCTTTCCATTAACGTGCAATTTGGATGGTAGACAAAAATTGGACATATCACTACAGTGAAGCAGCTTTTTAATCCATTCATCTGTGTCTGGACTAAAATTACAGGGACCAGTAAGATACATGCCCTGCCTTCAAGTTGCTTAGAGTATAATAGCAGGAGAAGAACACATAGTACAGTGGATACTTAGAGGTGCCTTGATTAAAGCTTGGAGAGTTTGACCCAGGAAAAGGTGGAAGAAATGGTAATTTTTATCTAGGATTATTTGGAAATGCTTATAGAAGGTATGGTACTTGAACTGAATTATGAAGATAAGTGCTTTGTCATAATGCAAGCAGATCAGCGTAAAGTTCTTAACAGGAAAACGGAGCAGTGAGAGTAGAGGCAAAAATGTATGAAATATCTTGGCAAGGAGTTTGTTATGACTGGAGTAGCATGATGGTAAATGGGACAGGGAGATTTGTATTCCATAAGGATCTGATCATGGAAGGCTTTCTTTGCCATATTAACATAAATGATGTTATCCTGTATGCACCTGGAGGCCATTGAAAACAATAAACGTCAGAATTAAAAGTGACCAACTATGAATTTTAGATAGAATACTTAGAAGATAGTGTAAAAGATGAAGCTGAGGGAAAAACTAGAGAAAAAGGAAGGTACTTAGGATACCATTTTTGAATTTAATAGTGGTATTTAGAGATAGAGGTGATGGAATATATTTGAAAAATATTTAGTTTGGATATAAGGGCAAGATTATTACTTTGATGTGCCTCATAAAAAATATAAAAAGAATTAGGATTATGTGCAGATTTCCAGTCCAGGGAGCTAAGTGAATGACAATCCATTCGCTGAGATAGGAAATTCAAGAAGAGAATGCTTAGATCAAAGATAATCAGTACAATGTTAAACATGCCTTATGTAAAGTTCATGTGAAACATCCAAGCAAATATTTCCAGGAGTGAGATGAGATAGATGATAGTAATATTCCAGAAGTTTAGTTCTGAGTCTTTTCACTTCTCCTTTTAACTATACAAAAACAATAAGGAAAATAAATAAAATAAATAAGGAAAATAAAACACACATGCATGTGTGCATACACATGCACACACATATACTAGTTTTAATCTAATTATGAAATAGATAAAAAGTCACAAAGTTGAAATTGCATCTAAGTATTGCCAAAATTGAAGCAGAACTGGAAGACAGCATGTAGATTCACAAAGATGTTACAAAGACTGACATGAAATGTGGAGAGGCTCTCAGGATTGACAGATCTCCTATATCTCCAGCATATTATTTCTGCTCAGAAGGAGAAGGCCTCACCTTATAATGGAAGTTTTGGGGAGCACAACCTAGGTAGATAGGTCAAGGTAGAATCTCTCTGGAAAGAATGAAAGAAAAGGCTTGGAAAATGCCCAGGAGGTCCAGACATAGCAGATCTCAAAAAGTGCCAGCAAAATATACCTTCTATAATTGAATACATAACATTAGAAAAAAGAAATGTGAAGAGATCTCAGAAGCCCATGGCTTGCAGTGGAAGTTCTTTTGAGGCAGACCAGAATTGGAGAGGCAGAGGAGGTAGAACCACACATAGGAATCATAGTTAAGTCCTTCCCTATATCAACAGAGAGGATAACTTCAGTTTTGAAGCTTGGAAGCCCTGCCTTAAGTTCCATTTTCATAACCTTCCTCTAATTTAAGAAAATTCATCTTATTGAATTTTCTCATGAATAAGTGGAAAAGGAAAAGGTTCTGCCTACATACAAAATAACTATAGTAAAAGAAATGAAAGTTATTCAACATTACTACACACAATGAAAACTCAATAGAATATTGTTACTGTGAATCAGATAAAAATATAAATGCAGCTATATGTAAGTTTAAGCTAAAAAAATTAAACAATTATAGCCACAAAATGAGAAAATAGCTAGATGAAGGAGGCTATGGAATGCAAACTAACAGAACTCAGGAAAGAAATTAAAAGGAAACAATTCAGAAATGAAAACTAAATTATAAAGCACACAGGGAAGAAAAGGTAACATAGAAACCAACTGTGGTTGAAAGAGAAGGAGGAAGAAATGGAGAAGATAGAATAAAAATAAGAAAAAAGTATTAGAGAAGAGGGACAAAAATAGAAGATAGGAAAAGAAGACCCAACATACACACAATTGAAGTTCCCAGAGAAGAAAACCAAAACAGTCCAACAATAAATATCTAAATCTCTAGTTAAACTTTCCTGAAATAATGATATCTAATAAACACTGAAATAGTATGCAATAATAGTGAATAATGAATATATACGGAAATATAAAAGATTTGCATTTACATACTAAAATGGCACATCATGTATCTAGGGAAACTGACCCAAAACAGTCAACACTGAGATATATAATAGTAAAATTGTTATATTTAAAGATGAGGAAATAGTACTTTTGCCATCTAGAAAAAGAGGAAAGCAAAATGTTTGGCACTGGATTTCTCAACAGCAGCACTTACCTCTAGAAAACTAGAGAGACACTCTTAAAAGATTGCTGAGGAAAGAAAATATTGGTTAATTATTGTATCATCAACAAACTGCCCTACAATTATAAACAGTTTTGATGTGGCAGAGCACAGGAAATGTTGTTATGAGATACTTCTTAAGAATTGACAGCAAGATGAGTTATAAATAGCCAAGATATAATTGGGAAAACTTTGATAAAATGTCCATTGGTGAGCATTAGCTATGTTAAACTAAACAGATTTAACCACTTATATTTAACTACTATATTTTCTAAATATAATTAATTTATGCTAGAACTAAGACAAATACTAAGCTGAGCATAAGGGTGACAAAATAGAATGCAATGTAATATGATTTGAAAAGTAGAAATTATAAAACAAAAATGAGGGAAGAAAACAGATCAAAAGACGGACAAGCTTATTGGATGCCTAATAGGTAATAAATGGGGAGTCAAGGGAAATCATCTTTATAGACATTTTACTGAAGCATAATATATATACAGAAGAGTGCACATATCACTAGTATACAGTCTGATGCATTTTTACAAAGTGAAGACACCAATGTAACCACAATCCAGTTGAAAAAATCAATAATTATAAGTATTCCAAAAATCCTTCCAATAACTCCTTTCTTGTCAACAAGTCCTTCATTCCTTAAAGTTACCACTATCCTCACTTCTGTGCTGGATAGGTTAATTTGTTCTGTTTGTACTTTATGTGTATAGGAGATTATGTTACATAGTCATTTGTGTTTGTATTGTGTTACTCAACAGTGTGCTTCTAAGAGTCAATATTGTTGCATATAAAAGAAATTCACTTTCATTGCCCTATAGTAATGCTGTCTGATCATATTTTCTAAAATAATGAGATGTTTTATATATCTGCTTTCCAAAATAGTAGTCTCTATCTGCATGCGCATGTTGATATTTGAAATGCAGTTAAATGTGAATGAGGCAGTGGACTTTAATTTTTATTTAGTTTTAATAGATTTAAATTTAAGTAGGCACAAATGGTTAATGGTTACCATATTGTATAGCATAGTTTATAGTAGTCCATTGTATGAATATACTAAAATTTGTCCATTTGTTCTATAGTTAATGTTTTCAGTTAAGGGCTGTTAGGATTGCTGTTTCCATAAACATTTTTGTACTTGTCTTTTGGGAAAGATATGAATACATTTCTATTGAATACATATATAAACAACAGAATTGCTGGGTCATAGGGTTTACATACATTAAGCTTTTTAATTTTAAAAGTTTTTGCACAAATTCATTCTTCTAGCAGTCTGTTATTGTTTTTTTAACTTGAGCAATTTTGTTAGGTGTGTGTTAATATTTCACTGTGATTTTACTTTCCTTATTCAGAGGACTGGTATGATTGAATACATTTTCCTATACTTATTAGCCATATGAACACATAATTTTGTCAAGTATCTGTTTGGTTCTTTTGTCTATTTTTATATTGGTTTGTTTGTTTATTACTGATTTGTAGGATTCCTTTGTATACTTTTTATATACCCCAAGTCAGGAATTACTTGTCATATATATTCATAACAAATATATTTTCCAACTCAATGGCTGCCTTCTCAGCTGTGATAATGTCATCTTTGAGGAAAATAATTTTTTGATTTTAATGTACTGTTTAAGAAATATTTCCATAAGCAGAATCATGAGGACATTTACTACCTTATTTTAATAAA